ATGATCTGTTTGGTATTTTGAGCAAAACACATCATAGACATGTTTTTTTTACATATTTGTATATATCTGAGACTCATAATATATGCCTACTAATAGCATAATAGGAGACCTTTAAGTTTAATCTCTTTGTTGGTATGTGTTTTTTCAGTGACAGCAGAGGAGTTGTGGAAAGGTGTGTTGGCAGAAACAGGTTCAGGAGCCAGGAAGGGTCGAGGGAAAAGGACCAAACGTAAACTGAAGAGAGACCTGAACCGAGGACAGACCGTCGGAGAAGGTGAGACAATTACAAGAAATACTAAACTAAGTATAATATATGTTGTCGTCCATTTCCCTGATGTCTCTTCTCCTCTCTCTTTGTGTTTCCCCTACAGGTCGTGGTGGTTTTCTGTGGCCCGGTCTGAACTCTCCGGTGATGAAGGACGGGAATCAGCTGAGCATGAGTCGAAGAGGAGAGAGTGAGCAGCAGGAGATGCAAGCTGATATAGGTACAGAGACAGAAAGCACTGAACACACACTTTAGTTTCTGGACATGCAGGCATAGAAAATGAAATCATAAATTGTGTACCAATGCACTTACTGCTCCCATAACAAACAAACAAACCTGAAGGAACGACTTAACTAAAAAACTGTGTGCAAATATATCACTCTATATCTGATACATAACGGCCTGCTGTTTTTTTCCATAGCAAGAATAAGTCTTTAATATATTTTTTGTAAGCAAAAAAGCAATTATCTTATTGGAAAATAATCTTTCAAGAGATGGAACTTTAAAGTGATGCTAATCCCAAATCAATATGCATCTTCTTCTTCTCCAGACAACATTTCCAGAGCTGTTCCTTCAAAAAGTATTTAGAGTTGAGCTTTGGTATTTTTACTTACTAGAAAACGTTTCCTCCCCTGCCTTTGCCTCCTGTCGATCAGTGAAACAGCGGGAAACCTTTGACAGGAATGTGAACTGCCTTATTCTTGTGTGTATGCATCTTGCATGCATGAGATAAACAACATTGGAAACCATTCCATCGCCCTACAAGTGGTCAAAAACTCCAGAGGGAACCGTTTTATTTTTGCGAAACAGAAGCACTAACTCGCTCCACGGTGTGAGATAGAAGCTGCCAATTTGTCTCCGCTGTGACCTCATTTGTTAAAAGTTATTACCAAATTTCTTTGACAATGAAAAATAGCGACTTTTTACACAGTGTGCTCTCAGGGCTATGATCTCAATCTGTTGTTTGTGTATTTGTGCAGTTCGTCAGAGGGATGAGTGGGAGAAAAGGTGGAAGACAAAGGTGAAGAGGGAGAGAGGATGGACCGGACACTCCTGGGGGGGCATCAGCATCGGAGCCCCGGACCCTGGACCCAACGGAGGTAAACTAACATCCAAACAGTCTTAACCAGAGATGGCAAAAGTACTCGCATCCTTTACTCAAGTAGAAGTACAGATACTCGCGTTTAAAAATACTCTGGTAGAAGTACTGACTAAACTTCTTT